GGATGAGAGAGTGCGATAGATACTGCGCAAGTCTGCTATCCCTTTAAACTAATTCACGTGAAAGTCACCGTGTATGCCTCACCTGTCGGTGTAGCACACGGTAGGAATCGTCGGCAACGACGGTCGAACTGTTGTGTAACACACGGTGGACGTCGTCGAAATTGACGGTCAAACTCTCAATTGACCAAATGTTGTTCCAAATCACTTCCAGTCATAACCATCAAGGTTAAGATAATGATCGAATGAGCTGTCCGACACCAACGCGATCGTCTGTCTATTTTTTTGTCAAGCCCGCGGCCTTACTCTAATCAGGCAATTAAGTTCATTACGCCTGTCTGTTCTGCGCAAGGCCTCGCCAAAGGCGAACTTCTAGAATGAAATAAAGACCGTTGATTGGGCGTGCCCAATCCTTCACGTCAGTCATAAACAAAATGTGCCACTTGACCTCTCTCAATCCTATGAGAAAACAAGCGAAAAACACCCTATCCCCTTTTGTCTACCTCATTATAGATGATTCTTTGACTCCCACTCCCACATGTAGATGGAAAAGAAACTACCAGACCAAATGTTCCATCAAAATTAAGTATTTGATATTACGGTTGTAATGACAATGACGGAGGTTTCGATAGTGACGATGGTGATTATTATTATGATGGTGGTGGTGGCTGTGGTGATGATGATGATGATGTTGATGAGCAGGAGGAAGAGGAGGAGGAGGAGGAGGAGGTAGATGGGAAGGAAGTGAAGATAGAGGAGGGTGCATGGGAGCTTTTTTGAATCATCTGATCGTTTCAACTTTCACGCCGAGATCCTTTAGCCCTTTTTAAACAAAAAAACGTATCTTTACTGTACTTATTTGGATTCTGTGTCTCCGCAGCATCTCATTTTTACCTATGTAGAGTGGGCTTTTGTGTCATGATCCAGCTACGGGTTTCTTCTACAGGCTGTTCTCTGTAGTCAGTAGGGCTCATGTTTCAGTGAATACGTGAGTTGACACTCACTAAAAGAATTCTACTGAACTTTATACGGCCGGTATAATACTATACTCCACCTAAGATATTTGAAATCTGAAAATTATGAACAACTTTTCCATTTCAAATAAGTAAATCTTTTAATCATCGTCGTGGACCACTTGTCTTTATTTTGTCAATTTCAGGTCGTTCAATTTCAAAAGTCGTTTTCATGTTTCACCTTAAAATCGGGCTAACTTTGTCTTCGAAATCAACATTCAAGCCCGTTTTCCCCATCCTTTTCATGCAAACCTACGTTTGGTGTTGACACCCCTTTCTGCAACTGAGTGGCGTCTGAGAAATAAAACAGTTTAATGGGTAGTAAGGGGATATTTTTTATGCCTACGCTACGTTATTCCAGAAAAGTCAGAAGCAGCGCACCTTTGGGAAGGAAGTTGCGTCGAGTAAGTTCACGCATCTTGCCACTGTTCTTACGCCAATCAAGCAGGTTTTATCCGGTAGTGAGTACCTATCCCTCAACCTTATTGTCAAATGCGACGAGGTCCTTTAATAAATGCAAAGTTCTGAAGGTGTTAGCATAACTGACACGGGTGAAGGACCCTTTAGAATTTCCCAATGGTGACTGGTGAATGGCTACATTGAGAAACGAAGTCTACACAGTTATTAGCGGATTCACCAACAAAAACTAGATAGAAGGGCTTGATTGATGCTGGCCAAGCAATCCTACATGTGGTTTGTCGGTCACCTTTGTGATTTTTTCTACTCGTTGAAGTAGGGACTCCATTTAAAAGCTTTTTAGAGTCGTGTTGACCCCGCTGAAGCATTTCGTGGGATTTATAATGCCCCCTCGAGCAACCCTAAGCTACTGAGCCAGCGCCTGTTAGCAACAGCAGAAGCGGCCGCCATCAGGTTACGAAAACCGACCATATTCACCCAGAAGAATCTCAATCAGGCTCCGCTCTTACCGTGGTCAACGGTTAACTAACCACATACAACTTTCTGTGTCCTTCCGCTCCTGTCTAGCCTGTTCTTTTAAAAATAACTTTTATCGATTTTTTCACTCACTGTACCCCGTCCCATATAACTGTACTGGCCTGAAGAGAATTTACCGAAAGCAAAGTTCGCTCGCCATCTTTTCTTCTGAATAAAAGCTTTTTGCCTGTGTGGGAGGTGGGTGTTCACATACCATCGAGAAATACAATCGAGTAAGAAAAAATGTACACTTTATTTTACAGACGGTAAAAGTATGCCCCCTTACTTATTTATGACCAGTTGATGGTGTCTTTTTCGAAATCTAGGTCGTCTATGGGTAGGTGTACGATATATAACCATTTGGGGTGTTGCGTTCGTCGATACAGGGCACAGTAGACGTCCAGCGCAAAGCTCCAAGGGATGACAGATCTCGTAGCGTTTGCTAGACTTCAGCCTGCCTAGTAACGCTAGTGTCCTGCTCACAGATTCCTCGGCCATGTAAAGAGCAACAAAGCCCACGTGGATTATGCAGTCGTAGATGGCAGCCACGGCGTGCCAGGTCCATTGATGAAAGGCGAAATGCTTCGCGGCGGCCTGCCCCACGAAGGTATCAGTTACCCCGAAAGTCACCAAGGCGCTGAAGATGAAGCAGGTTAGGCGTCGCTGGGTAGCCAGGAAGGAGAGCCGCTTTTCTATCCCGATATCGCAGATGCCATGCTGAAACACAGCTGTCAGCATAGAAAACTTAACCAGCGTGAAGATTAGGGCAGGCATGGTGTTAACAAACAGAAGCTCAAAGGAGTTCAGTTCACTGCCAGGATCAGGAACTAGGAGATGTAAACGAAGATCAGACTCTGCGGAACAGTTGTTGAAACGCAGCGGCTTTATTGGTCCCCAAACCACGAGACAAGAAAAGCCAATTAGGGAGAAAATCTGAAAGAGGAAAGTATGTTGCAGGGTTCTGACATTGATGGTGATTTGGGGCTGAGCAATTATGGCCTCGTTACTAGCGAAGACGACATAGCCCCAATTTCGGAGACATCGTGAGTAGACAACAAGCTTTCCGGCGTGTCGAAGCATCTGTTCCGTATTGTTCTGGGGAGAGCTGAACTTGAAGACCTCACCATAGCTAACTGCCTGAAAGGTCAGATTGCTCGCAGTTTGTAAGAGACCCGTCAGACAACAGAAACACAGCCAGCGTTGGATCAGAGCGTAACCCATTCCTCGCAGGCGGAATGCTACTGTCAGGACGTTTAGGCTGAGAAGTAGAGAGAATGCTGCACAGATAACATGAACACAAGTCAAAAAACAGGCCAGGACGAAGTTGTTTACATCTTTTCCTACGCATCGCTGACGCAGACTTAATTCCGCTATGGCAGCTGCATCCATCCTCCGCGGTTGACTTTAAATGAGGAAAAATCAATAGTCACGTCAAGGTCCAGTCATCTGTAACTTTCAGATCCCTGACTTCGAGGCTTGTACTAAATATTTTCTGACATCCGGGAGAAACAGGAAAGCGATTATCGTTTAATGAATTGCACTGCAGAATCGCGTTACTTGTCGTCCCCCAAATCTACGAACTGACGATTCGATTTGGTCAGATAATTCCTTCCTATTTTATCAGTATCAACTACTCAAGTTCTTCCGGAAGAAAGTTCATCAGCATGAGCGAATATTCTTCAAATGGAAGTTGATGGGAATCCTTTTCTACTGAGTTGTTGTATATTCTCTTCAGAATTAACAGAAATTTGTGCCTTTACCATTACCTCACTTTTATCCACGTTAGGATATTTTAAACCTCAACCAAAAGAAGGCGACCCTGCGGCTCTTTGGGAAAGCATTTTACTCGATGTTCTGTGGCCAATGAACACAGATAGCAGGTCCGGCTCTTTCCGACATGGGTTGCACTACGGCTGGCGGACGACGCTATTTGAGCCACCGTCCTATGAGTATTCTTTTTATTTAGCGGAAAAGGTCTTGAATGTATCCGTTAAAATTTGCGTTTTGGAGATATTCGGAGCATGTTTTGGGATGAAAAGGGTCTGTGTGCTAGCGGGTTTTTAAGAGTTTCACTGCCAACTGGCTCTTGTCTGATCGAAAGTTGCAAGTCATACGAACCAAAGTTCACAGGAGGTGGCAATCTCATAACTGACGCAATATGCGTTTTTGAGTAAGTTTCTGTCATGGAATTGTTTTTAATCGAAGGTTCAAAAGAATTTCTTCTGTGAAACCCGCCATCGAAACGTAAATGACGACCACCGCGGTACAGTTTTTCCGCTAAGTAACTTATTAAGACACAGGATAAGCCAGGACAGAGGTAGCTGATGTTGGGCTTAAGAACGGTTATGACAGGGCTAACATTAGATATATTAACGAGATTTTGAAGAACGAAAACACCTGGAATATTCTAAAAAAATTGACATATATCTTCATATTCGTACGTCTCGAGCCTCTGAACTCAGGTATTTTCCTATTATGACACGTATCTTTGATTTTTTAGGAGACCACAAACTTCGCATCCTCCTCGTTGAAAGCCCTTGATTTATGCTCTCACACCATTTTGTCCTAACACCACGCTGACTGTCCTTCCAGCGTCCAGTCTCATTCAAGTCTATCTTAGCTTTCTTGACAGTAGCTTCTTTAAACTTCTGAATTCTTAAATTTTCCATTTGTATGGTCCACTACCTTATGGTAAATCTGAACTAATCGACCAACACAGACCTTCTCCCAGGGTCGTAGACCGACTTGCCCGGGGCTGGTTGACTATTCCCTTATTACTGAAAAAGGGCTCTGATATCTGATGTACTGAACAGGGCTCAAAAACAGTGTCTGCTCTGGGATAGGTTAGATCGGTATTTCCGAGTTATCAGTCAACTATACTTCCCAGGGCTCATTACTTTACTCTGCTAATCACGTTCCCGACCATATTTTGGAAAAAAATTCATGTGTTAGTTCAAATTAGAGTTGAACTTCATAGGCTATACAACTGGGCAATCTGAAACGGCTGGCGAGCCTATCTCCCTTATCATCTTTTAAGTTGTTTGAAGAGGAGGGAAATGGCTTCCAAAGTGACTGTACAAATTACTAGATGGCTGTTATCTACCTCCCAGAGATGAACGCCATCTTGTCACTCTAAGAGATATCTAACTTCATTGTCTGCCTTTCTTCTACAACCGCCTGGTCGACGAGACAAATGCGTGTAGCCTGGAATTATGAGTCAACATTGTTGACGTACTTGCTTCCTATCAGTAGGCGTGCTTTTATTAGGTTTCATACTTACAACTGCCAATTGGGCGAAGGAAGGGCGGTTATGCTGTAAAGTCCTTCATGTTATTGCTGCAGCTATGTTTGCTTTATTTGGCGTACAGGGTCTGTCAGAATGACTTTCTCCTTCACTGTAACCGCCCCGAGAACGAGGTGCTGTAAGACTGTCTATATAGGCACATTGCATTGCACCCCCCACACGGAAATCTTCAGTAAAAGGCGAAATCCTTGAGCTTTGCGGATTGCGATTCACCACACTCTTTACATTATGCTTCTACCTGCAAGCTGCTTCAGTCGTGTTAACAGGCTAATACCCCCCACCCCCCCCCGTCTTTATGAAACTGCCGGGTTGTATTTGATCGCTGGGGGGGCCTCCCATATCACGTTCCATGCGGCTACCGCGCCAGTTAGCTAGGCGCGTAGGCGTTGGGTGCACTTAATCGGCGCAGGTTTGCCTTTCGTGGCTTACCCATATAGACGTTAAACCCGGTCGCTGGCTTCCTGTGTGGTCTACTAAGGCCGCTTGCCGCTTGCTTTCTTTGCCTGCCGTACGGCTAATTTCGCCGCCCCTTCACCCCATCACAGCTGGCTTTGGAACGGCTACCCAACAATAGGGCTTCGGCTTTGCCTTGCACTTTCACGGGCTTAGGTGTACGCCCGGGTCTTGGGATCTCTGTGTGGTCTCCTTCGATCGCTTTCCCTTTGCGCGTCGGACGATTTCGTACGTCCGTGCGGTTGGGCGGTTTGGCCGCCTTTCGGCGACCAGTTGGTTTGGCTTTCCCGTTTTACGTTCACCATTCATCGGCTTGACGGTTAGCGTACTTACGAAGTAGCCGTTGGATTGGTCAAGACCGCCAGCTAGGGTGTACATTGGTTTACCATCAATCCCTTCAAACATTACGCATTCAATCTCGGTTGGCGCATTTTTGGCTGGGGTTATGGGATTAAACGGGAACAAAAGTTCAGAGGTATAGTAAGGAATTCACTATTTATGTGCGGAGTATGAAAGAATTACAAACTTTTCCCGCTGCACCCGTTCTCAATGGCTAAAATGCCCATTGCCTGGCCGTTCGGCTGTTCCGTCTGACTGTTTTTACAGTGGCCGCTATTATTCAACTAGGTGTACAACATCATTAACATGTTACTGCTTACCTTTCTGGTCAGCTGCAGATTATCTCGGTTTCCGATTGCGCTTCCGATACTGCATAGGCCTGAGCCACATGGGACAGGAATCTTTCCGAGGACTCTGTCAAATTACTTGCTTTCAGTCCGAACCAGCAGTCCTTTAGCTTGCAAATATTGCACTAAATACGGGGACTGGATAATATCCAGGATCTGTCCAAACTCCGATGGATTATTTGCTTGCGGAGCGGCCTTCCGCTTCTTCTTTGCTGTCCGTGGGAAACGTGTGGTAATTATTAAACAAATTAATAATTACAGCTTCAGTCCCCTACGTCCTGCGTATTTTGCATTCATACTTACCGTTGCTCGGGTTCACTTTCCACCGCCCTGCTTGTCGTTGGCATTTAACTAGGATTCATCAGCTGTGACAGTATCGTCTGGGGCACCTCCAGCGGAATGGCTTTGGCCTTGGGTATCTTGCTCCTATTGGTTACAGCTTACTTTTTGAACTTTTCGGCACATTTTCCACCTCAAACAAATTTAATTATTAACTTTCTAAACCTATTTTTTACTTATTTTTTTAACTCTTTGCTGGGTTACCCATTTTTCCCACCCTTAAAACCCCCTCTTCCCACCCATCCCGTATGACACCGACCTTCCGTTTGCTTGCATAGTCCAGGCTACATACAATTGTCCGACCGTAATTGCAGAAGACCAGGAACACGGGCCGTTTGCCAGTTTCTTCATTTACGGTCTCCCTTATAATCTTTTAAGTTATTTGAAGAGGAGGGAAATGGCTTCCAAAGTGACTGAACAAATTACTAGATGGCTGTTATCTAGCCCCCAGAGATGAACGCCATCTTGTCACTCGAAGAGATATCTAACTTCATTGTCTGCATTTCTTCTACAACCGCCTGGTCTTTTGCTGTTTCCTCATCAGTAGTCCCTTTTTTGAGGATCCAGAATGCAAAGAATAGTTCCCAAAATGTTTTGTTCCTCATCTACATGTAAATAGAACTCATTCTTAAGTCGCCACGTTAAATATTCCAGTCCTTCGGGATCGAAATATTGCCGTAGACAGATAAGCGAAAACGCACAACGCTGACAGAGATCATGCAAGCCGCACTTCAAGGTGACACAAGGCAAATCTACAATGACAGGTGGCGCTCACCGATCGCTCTTACGGAACTCACTCGTTCCGTTGTGCCTTACGGGCACTCTCTCGAGCCCAACTAGCAGTCGCACAGCGACGCATAATATAGGCAGGGTAACGGGCTCGTGGCCCAGTGGTTAGATGCGTGGACTTCTAAATAACGGGTCGCGAGTTCGAGCCTCGGGTGTTCCATACTTCGGGGTTGGACATGGCTGGCTGACGACGGCTAATAAGCCAGAAATGACCATTCCATTCTCCCTTGTCTTTGTTGGTAATGCCATTCTGCCTACACAGAAGACGGTCGGTGGCAAAAACGATACTTTCGAGTAAAATGGTGAATGTATGCAGATATGATAAACAGCTGGATATCCATGGCGTTCCATCTTGACCATCGAACAACTGAGCCCTCAGTTTATGCTCTGTTGATCTTCGTTTTTTTTATTTCCGTGCTCTTGGATAGAACTGTCATTCATAAGAAATTAACTGGATTTCTCAGATAGAGACATCAGCACACGATCCACAGCCTACCGACAGCTAACTGGTGTCCTTCCACCCGACCCCTGCTGTACCATCAATTTGATACGGGGTCCACAGTCGACCGGAGCTTTGACGGTACGCTACTCAGATGGGACAGTTGGGCTGTTGGGGTAAATCCCAGATCTCAAGCCACGGAGCTGGATAC